CCATTTCACATAATCGGATTGGTGAAAAGGGCAATGTTGTCCTTGAATGTATAAATACACATTAACACATAAGAGGTAATTCACTTTGCCTTTGTATCTACTACTGTTAATACCACTATTAGAACAGCTTTTTGAATTTTAATACACATGCTTCAGAAGGTTTTAAAAGCTCTAGAGCTCAAAGGAAGGTGGCAGAAAGGCCACAGTGTAGTTGTGAGATGCTGACAAAGTTCAATTTATTCATCTGATTTAAAATATAATTAAAAAAAAATATTTCAGCGTGAAAGAGATCTCCACTGGGACGGAGGGACTCAACTTTGCTGATAAAGGCATAACAACATCCCTCAGATAGATACTGATTTTTTTTTTTTTTTTAAAGATTGAAGAGAAATTAACTAAGTGCTAAAGACATTAGAAGAAAAGTCAGTTAAATACTAAGATGAAATCTATACCTCTGAAGTTCCCAAAGCCACGGAGCTGGGGGCTTCTATTAGGGAAGGTATCAGTCTGTGCTGTCCTGTTACCCCTGCAAGCGCTCACACATGACTGCTGTGGAGGGAAAGGCAGATGAACTGGATAACCTAGTATAGGTGTTCTCAAATTATGTTGAAAACAACTCTTAATATGAGATTGAATAGCTTTTAAGGAACAGCTTTTTATCCTATGTAACTTCTAGAATAAATTACTTACTTTGTTATGCTAGGGGTGGGTGGAGGTATGATTTAATCATTATGATGATTTCTAGCCTGTGAATTTGTATGTTTTTTTCTCTCTCTCTTTTTTTTTTTTTTTTTTTAATAAGGGAGTACACTTGCTTACCTAGAACTGTGTGTGAACTTCATGGTTGTACAATTACATGCATTAGGCCTGCAAACTGACAGGTTGCAGGGATCAGAAAGAATCCTCTCTCCTTTCCCTGCAACGTACAGCTAGACAGGAGAGAAATGTCTGTCTTCCCCTGGGGTGTCTGGGATTGGCTGTAGCTGCAAATAACTTATCTGACAAGACTGAGCATTGCTTACAGGATTTACAGAGAACTCACCTTACCTACATATTTGATGTAAGTGTCCTACTCAAATGATCAGGATCATACTACCCCTCAGGTTTGCAAAGGAAAGGGATTTTTCTGCACATCAGAGTTCCTGATAACTGAGGCTTCTTTCGGAGATAGTCTGTAGCTTACATCTACACTAATAAATTAAATAAACATGTCAGTGACTTTTTTCTTGCACTGAGGACCACTGGCACAGAACTTCTTGTGTCCGTACTAATAAGCTGACTCCTCCAGAACAGAGTAGCTTCATATGTTTTGCCAGTTCTTAATTCTGTGTGGCCACTGTCTGAACTTTTCCTGGGAATTCTTTGGGTTTAGTTGTTGTCATGGGCCAAATCTGTGCAAGGAAATTTTTTATTAACAATTTGATGGACTATTAAAACGGTTTGATAATACAGATAGTAGAATTTCAGTGTCCAGGAGTGTAGTCCCTTTCACTTTTTAATTCAGTGGTATAGGTGTGTATTTTAGAATGGTGCATGCTCATATCCTGCCAAAAAAGACTAGATTTTTTTCCTTTTTAAGGCCCCTTGAAGGGCACACTAACATTTCCTGTCTGATTCATGGCATGACAGGAGACTATTGCTGCTCCAATTTTTGACCATCCTGTTGAACTGATAATAGTCTATCTCTGCAGTTTCTTTCTGGCTGGTGTGTCAGTCAGAGTTGTCGGTGACAGCTGCACATCCATCATGCATTTCCCACCCGTCTAATGTGGGTTTTCAGCAGCCCTGCAGGTGTACCCAGAAGTCCCAGACCTCTTCCCCATCTGCCTCATTAAATGACTTCTGACCCATTCAGGGTGGGAATGGATCAACAATCTTGCTTCATACCTCTTTCCACATTCCACTTCCCCAGCTCAGTCACATTTCAGTGACATATGCACTTTATTAGGAGGCATGTGATTATCTCTTCCAACTTGGGAAAAGGATTTCCTTGGCTGTCTCAAAATGATCAGGCTGCCATCTCATCCTGAGGTTTTTTGCAACCTGCATATCTGTGTTCTTACATTCAAATTTTGTGTGGTGGCTCTCTTGCCCATTTTGTCAGTGAATCAAAAAGAAAATATATTCACACCTTGCAAACTGCATTTTTGCATACCTCTCGTGACTGTTGTTATCATTTTTAATGGTTGGTTGAGATAATTGTTGGTTTGAGAATTTACCTTTTGGTTGTCTTTGGCTCCTGAAGTATTTACTAAGGTCCTGGTGACAACTGTGGCCCATCTTCACCTTTGTGTTGTTTCTTTTTTTTTTGTTTGCTTGTTTTTGTTTGTTTGGGTTCACACACACACCACCCCCCTAGCAATTAGACCTATCTAATCTCATGGATAATCTGGATGATTTGTCATTTCAGGGGTTTCTTTGCTTGAAGCTACTGTCTGGCAAGTATTGCCTCTGTAGTCTTCTGCATTTTGGAACCCAATATCTGTGGGTTAAATAGATTCCTTGGAAATTCAAAGTAAAGGTAGAGGAAGTGGTGTCAAAACCAAAAAAAGACAAGTTAGGCTCATTTGGTTAAATCGTACAGAGAAGCAAATGATAGAATTGAGCACCTTGGTACATAAAAATTGTAAGAGCTTTCAAACAAATTGCAAGCAGAAGCCATCCATGTGAAAGGAGAAAAAATGAAAAAAGTGGCACATGAAGATGATATAGACAAAGTCAGTCATTGGATATTGAAAACTTAAGAGGCTTTTTTCTGTTAAACTGAGGCATAAGAAAATGTATGAATGCTCCTTACAGGAAATTAATTATTGCCTATAAAATATGAATATTTAATGAAGACATAATTAGAATACATTAATACCCGTGTATGTTCTTGCAAAAACAATTGGTGTATTGGAAAACAAAATGATGTTTTCCTTAGTTTTATGATCTAATTTAAGTTTCATTATCATCATGTTTTTTTACAAATGCTAGCCTATGCATAACGAAGAATATTCACTACCTAGAATAAACAGAAGGATGCTGTGGTCTTTGTTTTTCAAAAATATAAGAGGAACAAGGGACTTAATTCTTGTCATTCTCTCCTATCACAGTTCCTTGTGAAACTGAACTGAAGGTGTGGAGTAACTTCAGATTCATACCTGTATGAGAGTAAGCAGGCCATAAGGGCAAGTTTTCAGCTCTGCTGAAATCAGTGATAACATTGTACTTGAATTTAGTGGAACTGTCTTTCTTCTTAAACATCCATTTTATTTAAGGATGTATGCCTTTAATTGTTTTTTTCCTCTTAGCATTGGATATTAAAAACACTAGAAGACCAATACTTCCTGTCTATTGCACAGACTTCCTTGTGTTCAGTTCTAAACTACATTTTAAAGAATTCAAGCAAGTTTGGGTTTTTTTCACTAAATAAGCCTGAGCCCTCTCTACTTTCTTTGAGGAACAGTTTTGCATGAACTTCAGTAGTATTAGGTTCAGACTCTGTCCTAAATACAGAAATAAGAAGTTTGCTTCCTTAAATATGCCACAGGCAGGAAATACTCAGTAAAAATCTTTCTTTCTCTGTATCTGTGTTATCTTAAAGCTTTGTGACATACAAAACCTGATTATATTCAAACACATTTTATATAAGAATGCTGATTTGATTAACTCTCCCTCTCCAAACAGCAAATGGGAAATCAGTGACAGCTTTATGTGCATATAGGATGACATTGAACCACCTCGATGAGATCAGTGCATATGAACATTTGAGTTCAAAATTAGAGCTTAATCCCACAAACTACTCCACACTCAGTACCTTTAAAAATCACAGGAATTCCATGTGGTCACAGCAGTCTACATGCATGGAGAGTTTACTGGATTTATTCCAAATTTTAAGCTTTGTTATTTTGTCCATGGATTTGGCTTACAGACAGACCTTAACTCTTTTAGCACTGAAATGTATGTATCTCGTGATCAGTCTCCTATGTGATAACAGCCCTCAGGTTATTTTTAACAGATACATCTGGTGGCCTGAAATTAGTAACTATTTGGGTTAAAAATTAAAGCATAAAGATGGTATCTTTTCATCTTTGTTTTCACTCATCATTCAAAATAATAGAAATTATTCTGAAGCATACTGCAAGGAAATCAGTATAAATCCTTGAAAACCGAAGGTATTGTAGGAGTGTGCTCGTATCACTAGCCATATCATAGGATTGCATATGGAAAACATGAAGGTGTAATTAATGAATTGACTGCTGCATGACCATTGCTGTTATTATTAGCTATGCCGCAGAAAGCATTTTAATTCCATTTTCAGCTCCAAATACTTACATGTTAACTACACAAAAACTCACTGAGTTTCTGTATTTGAAGGACTGTATCTAAAATGATGAAAACTCTTCCTTAAAGACATTATTTAGGTTTTCGCAAAAATGTTTTTCATTTTAGTTTGTTATAGTATGCTTGTAAGACACATATAATCATTGGAAGATAATGAGAAGGGAACTATAATGGCAGTTCATAAGATTTTTTTTATATAATTGTTGGTGTAATAATTGAGAGCTATAGTTTTTAATTAGAATCAAAGTTTAAATAGTAGGAGTTACAATTAGTATTGTTTAGTTGATAAGTGTGAGACTGTAAGAGCATTCCAATTATGTTCAAAAAGTGAAAGTTAAGTGTTTTGAATCAGTAGCAGTCTATAGACATGCTGCTGTGACTTCATAACAGCATGGTAGACTGCTTTATGGAGCTGGTGATTACAAAGATCTACTTTAACCATTTTTTTCTTACTGGCAGGTGTCCCACTGGCCTGAGGCCAGCGGCTGTGAGTGTACTGCAGCTTGCGGTTTACACCAGAGTGTAGAAAATGCCGACACCAGCTGGCTGCACATAATTAAGCTGATTGCGGTCTGACAACTTGAACTATGATATAGATATGTGATAAATATAAAAAATATCTTACAAATTTGATTCTCTGACATATTTTTATCTACTTTTTTTCTCCTTAACAGATATGATATCTGCACTTACAAAAACAAGCCTTGTGGAACGCTGGGTAAGGTCATGAAGAGAAATGTGAGCTTGTATTTGCTGTTTCATTGCTTATACTCAGCTATTAATTTATTGACCGATTAGATCTTTTTATTTTTATGCTTTCAAAATTTTGCAGTTTTATAAATGTGAACAATAAAAGGTAGCCTAGGTGGGCTTCGGCTTTGATACATTGCTGGAAGTTTAAATTAAGGGAGCTGCTGCTGTGTGTTTCTTCTCTGGCAGCTGTAGTTCTGACAAAACCTAGCAGCATACTCAAACTTACTTCTTGGAGAAGGGAATTTGCTGTTTATTTCCATTTAACCTGTCTCCATGATCTAGTTAAAAAAATACAAGTAAAAGACCTCAGAAAAGTTAAAACCCAAACCAAACAAAAAAAAAAAAAACCTTACAAAAGAAACAGGCTTTGAGGTTTGCACTGTTGCTCTCTTGTACACAGGGAGTACAGCTTCAGATTGTTGCTTTCGCAGACTTAGAGGAAAAATACCACAGTGATATAAATTACAGTAACATTGAAACTCCTTAAAACAATGCTTTGACCATGGAGGAGCACATATAGCAAACTTAGGTGCAGGATGGAGAGCTATTGTTCTCTCCATACCTAAATTTGTCATGAAAAGTTATTTACTGTGGTATAGTTATTACTTTTAATAGTCCTTTAATATATGAAAGAAACATTGTTCAAAGACTAATATAAGATTTATTTATAGGTTTTTTTCAGTTTGCATCCTTTCATGAGCCTCTTTCTCAGAAGTAATTAAAGATACAATTCTAATTTGGCTAATTCAGATTATTAATACTTTTCTCAATCAGAGCTCATAATTTTATTTGCTCTGTCTTTGCTGTATTACTGTATGTTTTGGTAGCCTTAACTCATGTTAAGTCCTGCTCAAGTCAGCACAATGCTTCAGGCACAAGGATGTAGTTTACATGGGGAAAGGTACCAGAATTTTGCCTGGTGTAAACATAAATAATATCCACAGCATGTTTTAGTAAAAAGGAAATTATGCTGATGAATTTCTAAATGTAACTGATTTTCTTTGACATCTGTGTGGAGGAGACAAAACTGAAGAGACTGTCTGTATTAATGTCATAGAATTGTCTTTGCAAGTGTTAAAGGAAGAAAGTTTGAAAGGGCGTACATTCATGCACGAACTACTTGATATTTTTACGTGATATTTTTAACACAGATCATTAGTGTACTAGTTCTTACTGTATCAGACTTTGGCATAAAGGCAAATTCTGCTTCACTTGAATCCAGCATAACAGAGGCTAGACTTTGGCAAATGCTTTATTAAACAAGAGGCTTGGTTTTTGTTTTGTTGTTGGTTTTTTTTTTTTTAAAATAAAAATCACATATGGTATCAGTTCCAGCTCAGTGTTATAGGACCCTTGGCAACACAACCATGACAATTTATTTGCATTATAGGCATTGAATTGGAGAAGAGACAAGGCCCTGTGGCCCTCTTTTTTTGCAAGGCATTTAATGTGCTTAAGTCCCACTGACCTCCAGTAACTAAAGCATATATTTAAGGAGTCTATGAACAAAAGCCTCAGAGAGGTCTCAGAAGGTCAAAAGAAACCTGAATCATTGGTATTCTAGGAAGAAACAGAAGTAAAGGATTTTGTGTGGCATAGGTGTCTCTCTCCTATTCCAGTTTCCTAAAACAGGGAATCTTTCTTGGAACCTCTTAGAAAAGATAGACCTCAGATGTCTTTGCAGCATGTCTGTGGCTCCAGTGAAGGACAACTCCTTCTTTAAATCTGAGCCATAGACTGAGTTGACTTGATCTCTGTCACTTTCTGCAAGCATGGTATGGAGTTACGTTAATCTGGTCCTGTAACTCACTGAAGTTATAAGAACTGAATATAGAGATGGCTTTATCACTCAAATGTGGTGGACTTTGCAGGGGAACATGACAGTTGGCATATAAGTACTGCCATGTTGTTTTCAGAATGTCCTACTCAATTAGGATAGCATAGTTGAACTGTAATTATTGTATTTTCTACAGGTTCCTCACTGCAAAAAATACACAGATTTTTCTCCATGGGTAGTCTTTTTTCTTCTGATGTTTCATCCTGTCCTCAGTGGGTGTGTCTACAACAATGATCTGTTTATAGCAGTAGTACTGTTTGATGCAAATTCTACAGACACACATTGTCACTTTTTGCCCATGTTAGTTTGGTCATTAGAGTAGTTTTGGTGTGTGCAAACTCAATTTGTTCTGGAGAAAACTTAAGTCAGAACACATACTCCCCAAATGCTCCGTATGTGTCTACAGGAGACATTAGGGTCTAAATCACTACATGGGCTGTATTCCTATTATGTACTGTAATATTTTTTCCCTTTAGAAAGCTTTGACCGAATGTGTAGTGAACATGTTCAGCCTACGGGATTAAAGTAGTCCAAAGTAGAATGTCCAACCCACATACAAAGATGTGTGAGGAGCCTCAACATCAGTGCTTCATTCTCCTGACCCACTCCTGTGGTTCCAAATTACTTGCTAATGTGGGCACAGCCAGGAAGCGCTTGTCATCTTACTCTACGTGCTTACTGTTAGTCCAAACAGAATAATTTGAAGTGCCTGTTCATATAAAGAGTATGATTTCTCTCTTCCCCCTTCCCTGCCCCATTTCCCCCCATCCCCCAAACAAAGTTACACTTTTTCCAGGGTTTTTTTGTTGTTGTAGTGTAATTAACTGAGCAGCTAATTTCCTTAAAGAAAGGATTACTGCTTCTTTCAGATAAGAAATTCTAGGGAGGAATATATTAAATAAATCCGATGTTTAGAGCTTTCTCTAGTGGCACTAAATTATGACTGCAGTATGTTGTGTGATTATCTGTTGCTGAAGAATGTGTAAGATACAGAAGAGCCATATTTTGTAAATGCCAGTGGCTTTCTCTCTCTAAAGAAAGCTTTTAAAAGTGCTTGTAATGCAATAAGGTTTTAATTCCAGAAGATGATGGGTGATAAATGGAAAAGACTTCCATGGTTAAATGAATGCTTGTTATTAACATGTCTCCTCTCCCTTCATTGATGCATTCAGTTTTGTTTTTTTAAATTTTTTTAACGTACCATGTGGACCTTTCATAGCTAAAAAAGTTGCTTGTATGTTTTTATGAACCCACTAAACTTAAACAGATTTCTTTAGAAAAATAATGTGGATACATTTTGCTTTCTTCAGGCTCAAGAATGTTAAAATAGAAATGCTTTCTTGAATTCCCTCTCCTGGCTCAAGTTACTAGGTGGTCCCAAGTTACCAGAAGTAAAATTTATAAATCTAACCCCTAGTCTAGACATTTTCCAGCACTGACTGCAGTTCAAAAAATATTAATGTCTAGCCGGCAAAGTGAAATTCCCCCCAGTGATTTTGCAAATGACTAGAAAGTTAACCTTTTGCCAACTGCTCCTTCTGTGCATAGAGGTTATTAAAAAGAATCCAGGCATTTATAACTAGGGCTTTTAAGACTGAAACACCTTGGCATGACCCTTTGTGTCTCCTTCTGTTTATTCAGGCTTGGCCTCTGTGGCTGGAATGTGTGAGCCTGAAAGGAGCTGCAGCATTAATGAAGACATTGGCCTAGGTTCAGCTTTTACCATTGCACATGAGATTGGTCACAAGTGAGTGAGTTTAAAAAAAGAATACGTTTTAATGTATCACCTTTTTAATATTAGTTTAATAATAGATTTTTTTTTTCCCCTGCATGGCTGTACCATCTCTATTCTGGTGCTCCATGTTTCTGTATATAGTATTCATGAGTGGCAGTACATCTTATCTAGTATATATTACCGAGAGCTTTAAATTTAGAACTGAAGACTCACCGTTTACCCTTTGATTTCAGATTCCAGTTAAATCTGTGCTTTTGTGATTTGGCTCACAACCTTCCTACTCTGTTTCATATTTTTAAATATTTGGCTTTGAAAATTTTCTCCCCCCCCCCTACTTTTGTCTACCTTTCTTTTTGAAACAAAAGTGGTTAAAAGGTAATTATTTTGCTGTTTGTTTTTTGTTTTAAATATAATTCAAACTACTTTTAATAAAACATTGATTCTGTTGTCAATATTCATACACTTTTAGCCATCTTCCACTCAAGCATGAAGTACATAAAACAGTCATAGAGCAGTCATAGCATCCCTTGTTACATTTTAAGCATCAGCATATCATTTTAATGAGCATGATGTTATGAGACTGGTAAAATCTAAGTAGCGTTTGGAAATATTTCAGGCCTTCTTCTAAAAGGCAACATTGTTAGTACATTGTGATGACTCTAAAAAGACTAGGCACCTTCTATTATCAAGAGGGGTCCTTTGTTTGCATGGGTTGACCAAAACTGAGTTATGGATGCTGTGTTTTTCCAATCATTAGCTGATGCAACTGCTAAAAGTTCCAATGCAGACTGAAATGGAAGCTATCAGTCTGCTCATCAAAAAAAGGAGTTGGAAGTAAACAGTTGTTTCTAGCCCACCTAACATGTAAGATAATCACTGGGCAAGTATGTTCTCATTTATATTATGTATGAAAAAACCACTGCAGTTGCATTGAAGTAGATTAATTCTAGAAACCAAAAGCAATTGTATAAGATCTGGACAAAAATAATTTAAAACACTTTCTCCTCATCATTTCCTTCCTTCTTTTCCTTCACTTGCATGAGTTTAGAAAGATAGGGTAAAGGAAAATAGATTTTCACTGTTGAGGAAAGAGCTCCTCCAAATCACTCATAGTTCTGAAATTCTTGTTAATAACATCTTGTATAGTAATAGATGACCTTGCTGTGAATTTGTCACGTTTAACAAGAAAAATAACCTTCCAATACCACATCTTCATTCTAATCCATGTGTCATGAAACTACATATTTTATGCAGGTTATTCCACAGATACGTGAACATAGTTTAAATATATGCAGCTTTTTATCCTGCAAAGCTGGCATGATGACAAGAATTGATTTGAAGAGCTTAGAGTTAGAATCTGAGAAAAATCCGAGAAAAACAATATAGTGATAGCATATATCTTGTGATCATAGGAATTTTTTTAACCGTTCGTGTTTTCTACTTTCCATATCTTTGGCTTCTTATACGTAAAGTCTTTTAAAATTCTGAAATCTCAGCTCTTTGAGGCTTTCACCTCACCCTGAAGCCAGCTGACATGACATGTCAAATGCTGGTTTGAAAAGAAAGTGGAAATTATATTCGTTTAGCTTTTATCCAATGCACAGTGATTAAAGAAACTTGCACTGCAAGCTTGGTGTTGAAAAAGTATATGCTGTGTAGGTACCTTCAGTAAAAGCTGAGAAGAATATGTAGGCAAAAAATCTTCAAGGTTTATAATGTTTTGTGCTATCCACTCATCACCTCCCATTCACTCACACTGTGACTGAATGCCTCTACAACTAAATCAAGGAAGTTGTTGTTTCCTCTGAACTTCCTGCTTCGTAGTACCTACTAGAAGGTACTTGCATATATGAGTAAAATAATTGTTTCGGGTAGCCTTGTAAACTTTTTTCTTTGGATGTACCGGGATGATTGCTTTTCTCTTCAGACATACATGGGGAATACAAAATTGCCTTCATTGTCAAATGAAAAATAGAAGCATTTAAGAGACGTGTCTATACTGATTATATAACAAAAAAGCACTCAATTAAATTAGAATGGGAGGATTGCGCTTAGATCATGTCTTTAATAATTATATGGTTGCCATGGAATGCTGAGTTTTTGAAAAAAATGTTGAACTGAGGAATAAAATTCTCTTGTGAATAAAAGAGAACAGTAATGATAATACATGTATTTTGACAGATTATCCACAGTTTCTCCAAAATTGGATTTGTAAGATTCCCTGATGGAAGTAAGGCTCAACTTGTTGTTAGTTTCTAGTAGTTTATTAAATTAGAGTGATGAGAAGTCATTACATCATTCAATCTGACTTTCTGTATATCATAGTGTATTAAATTTAACTCATTTAACCTTGTATTGATCTAAGTAACTTAAATTTGGTTGAAGAATATTATCCAGAAAAGCACTTAGTCTTAAGGCTTAAAGAGACTGAGACTGTGAGCGTGATTATTACGGTCAGTCATACTTTCTGTTAAATATTTATAAGTATTTTTAAAACATTTTTTTGCTTTCATTCTTTACCACTTGTAGTTTTTATACGTGTATAACCCAGTTTTGGTGCAGATAAGCTGTGTGCAATTGAGACTCATAACCAGCTGTTTTTATTGAAGACGACTGTACACTGTGATTAACTCTGTGTTTCTTTCCTGAGGGCATAAAGAGTGATGTTAGGCTAACAGTTTTATGGTTGTTTCTCCCTATGCATGGTTCTGAGAACAGCCTTGTATTACTCTTAATACTTCCATGAATCAGATAAAATTCAGAGTGGGCCCTTTAGCCTTCAGAATAGTGTCTCTAGAAATTGGTTTGTGATGTTTGACTTACAGAATGCTTACTTTCCTACCATTATATATTTCATACCGAAGAAATGCTTAAGATTTCTGGTAAGCAAAAATCACAGTGATTTCTCATGGGAGGACTGAGAATTGAATGTGTAACCCCAGCATTGTCAAGCAAAAAGTGTGACTTTTTCTTAGTGGAGAAAGGAACTATTTGCAGGCTTGAATATGCTGTTATGCTCAGACAAGTTGTAACATTTAAGATGCATTCCCATTTTCTGTTTCCCTAGCAGATGGGTTAGGTGGCTTTCTGCTCTATGCTTTTTAACTGGGATACTTTCTCAAATGCCCAGCTTGCCCCATGCATGTTGTACAGGGTGCTTAGTTGAACTGATAATGAATTTGAATGCCAGGTTGAAAGGGGTATATCCATAAAAGAAAGGCATTGTGCCATTCATTGTTGCAGTCCTATGGAGTTAGCTGAGATCCAGAAACTAAATAACAAAGTGAAAAAGAACAAATAAAATAAAAGGGCAGAGGGAATGTAAAAACATGAGGATAGTGGAGTAGGCTTAGAACAGAGAGCTGCCCATAAAACCTGGAGTAACAAAAGAATTGACTAATGACAGACAGCTATTGAGGGCTGAATGGAGAGAGCAGGGAGAAAAGGCTGGTGGCTAAAGTAATGTCTGAAAAGTCAGAATTGTCTTGACTTACAGAATATGTAATGAATTGAAATTCAGAGGAGTTTGGCAGTCATATCTTGATGGAAAAAAGTGTAAGAAATAATAAGATAGATAGATTGTAGTCTAATGGAGTAAATTGGCTTCAAGATGAAGAACAATATTTTCAAGCATGTATTTAGTTCTGAATTAGTTCATACAGCTAAAACGTGCCTGCAATTCTAGCACTTTTCTTTTAGTCTTTTTTTAGTCTGTATGCAAAGTAGAAAAACAGCATAAATACCCCTCATCCTACATGAGAAGGTTGGTCTTCAATGCTGGAGTAGAAATTTCTTATCTAGGAAATCCTAGAGGTACTTTCAGAAGCTGGTTGTCTTTTCCTCATTCTTCAGCGGTCAGTGAGCTTCATGTTTGATCAGTCAAACTTCAGCTGCATTATAGGACCTGACTTTGAGGGAGATGCTTTCTAGAAGAAAGGTATGTCAAGGCATGTATGTGTTATACAACTAGAAGGAAAATACTCTAATCTGAGGTAGTAGGGACACACATACAAAACTTCAAAATAGCTTTCAAAAATAGTTGAAACACAGCTAGGATGAATTGTACTAACGCTACCTTCTGTCAGCTCTCCCATGAACAGGTCTCCAGTTGATGCTGTCATCACTGTTTTATCTGTGATGATGATGTCTTCCATCTTCAGCTGTAGCAGGGCTGACAGACTGTCTCAAATCTACAGTGTCTGAACATCTCAACACCAGCCAGAACAAGTTAAAACTTGTCCCTGCTAGATGCCTAGGATTGACTGAGAACAATGCCTTAAATTGTTAGGGACAGTTTAAATAACTTTTTTTATTTTAAAAAACCAAACCAAAACATGTCCTGTTTTTGGCTGGACAAGCCACGTAAGACCATACATAATCATATTCCTGCCCCCTGCCCTAGTCTTTTTTGTTAAAGGAACATTGTTTTGAGTCTGCCTTTGTAATATTGCAGGTATAAAAGCATGCAACTTCTATAAAAAAAGTCTTCATTGGGACTTAAATTTTAATGATGTTTTGTGCATATAAAATGAAATGTCATAAACATAAGGCTAGAAAAATATTTCTGGTGTCTGTGATGTTTATATGTACAATATGAAAAAGGCTTTTATCTAAATATCTGTGAAATATTATTTGAAGTTTAGAATTTACAATACTAAAGTAATTTGTCTAACATTAAAGCATTGTAATCAAGGAAAAAGAATGTAATAACACTTCATATATCTTAACAACAGTGTAAGAAGAATAAATGGGGGTGAAGAGGAAGGTTATCATAACCTTCAGGGCATCATGAATTTCCAGAGGAAATCTGAGCTCAGAAGTTTGCTTCCTGATTAGAGCCAATATTTTCTACTTTGACCTATAGTGTAGAGACCTGATGCATTCACACTCTGGCTTTGTGTAGCACACAAACCTAACTTGATGTTACTCTTGTGGCATGAAAGCTGGATAGCTATGGCAATGTAAACCAGGAAAAGTTTGTGCTCTACTTCTAATATTCCCATAGAAGTCTG